CCCCCCCCAAACCTCTGCCAGCAGCACCAGCGCTGTGTGTTGTATTATTTTCTGTCCATTAATCACCTTTCATGTCACTTCTTGACCTCCAGGTCTCCAAATGACTCTGCAATCAGCGGGACAGTGATTTTCACCTTTGGCTCTTCTTCACAGGCCCCCAACTCCCCCCTCCAGCTCTTTCCTTGCCATTAGATGGAGAAATGCCTGGAGAGGAAAACCAGCATCTCTGTTATCCCATTAAGGAGAGACAAGGTTGGAGTGAAACGGCTTTAGAAATGGGCTGTAAAGGTGGGGAAGGGGCTCGGGCAGATCTGCAGCTCCTCATCACCCAGGGAAAAACGCTCTTTAAGTTGTCTGGTTTTGTAGCGTCCTCCCAAGGATTAAACTTGCCTGGTTTGTGCCCTGTCAAGTTTTGCTTCTTGGTGTCAGAGCTGATTCGAGGGGGCTGCACAAAAGCCTTGTCACAGCATGGTGCAACGGGCCAGGTCTTCCCATCTCCACCTGGAAAGAGCCCTGTGTTTAGCGGTGGTTTCGGAGGCTGCTAAAATCCTGGCCAGGGGGAAGGGTTGGTCATAGCCGCTTGTATCAGGCTGAGAAATTCAAGTTTGCCATTTTACCTATCCAGGATTATGGGAGGGAGGGAGGAGAGCACGTCACTGGGCGACTTTTTGGGGTGGGGATGGAGGTTGGACATCATCTCTCCATCCCCTGCCCACTCAGCTCCTACAAAACTCCCAAGAAGCACTAAAATCAAGCGGGGCTGAAATGAAAACCGAAGGTGATTTCTTCCCAGTTTATAAAGAGGAGAATTGATGCAGGACACCTTCACCGCCAGGTCTGGAGGAGTTGCAGCCAGCCCTGTGGCTTTCCCCGTGGTGATGGTTCCATCCCGTGGTTACTGCGGTATAGAAATGGGGTAGTCATCCATCCCCGCGTTAGAGGTAACTGCAGATTTTCTCTCAGCTGCACTGCAGAGCAGTTGTACTTACCAGCTGCTGTCTATCCTGGTGTTTGCACTGTTATTAAGGTGATCATTAGGCAATTAATATGTAACTACAGAGGATTTACCAGCAAACTTCATTATGTGCCTTACCGTGTCATCGAGCGTGGGTGCTAGAAAAGGGTTGTGATGCCAGGGATCAAAAATATCCGTGCTGATTGAATTCGTATGGCAATGACACATCCCTTCTGAGAAACCCAGCGACGAAACCCGAGGCAGCCAGGCTTTGCGAGGGGTGAGGCAAACTTTGCCTGCTTGCTTTGATGCTCATCTCTGGCCAGAGGGGGACGGGATGATCAGGGGTTTGGTGCAATTCGTGATTATTCCCCTTGCAGTTTTTTACGGTGCTGAATAGGTCCTGGCAAAGACCTTGATGTGGCTGGTTTGCTCCAAATCCCCCGTTTGTTTTTTTTTCCCACAGAAATGCCACTTTTCAGAGAATGCCGGCCTTTCTCCCCAGCTATTTTCCATCCAGATCCTTCTGCCACCCATCTTGTGGCAGCATCACTCCCTGCTCGTCCTTCCAAAACTCGTTATATTCCAGCGAGTCTCCCTTTGCAATCTGCCTTTGCTGGGAGATGTGCCAGAGTATCCGTTCCCTTCCTCGAGGCGTGTGTTGCTTTGCAAGATGCCTTCTTGTGTTTTAAGCTGCTCTGAGTAGAAATAACTCTTTATTCTTTATTTTTTTTTCAATCCGAGGGTGCTTTTTCGCCAGCAGGGTGTGGAGATGGGCTGTGGGGTCCAGCCCAAAGCCAAATCCGTAGCAAAGCACTTTGCAAGGGACTGGGTGACCTTTTAAACTGGGAGCTAAGCAAGGAGAAAAGACAAGAAATTCCGGTGGTTCCGCACAATATTTGCTTGTTAGTCCCAGGGACTAGTTGGAGTTGCTCGAGCGCACGTAGCCCACGGCCTTTTCTAAGCTGTGAAACCCCCAAAAAGCCACGCAGCAGCGTGGTGTGGATTGCCAGCAGCATCTCCCCGGGCCACGCAGCACCTTTTCCCCATTGCACTTGCATTTCCCTATAGCATTTGCATTTCCCCATTACATTTGCATAGCAAATGAGCAGTGCGTACCCCCCCCCCCCCCCCCCCCCC